ATAGATTAACGAAAGAAATTTGTAGAGCTTTCTACGTAGCCAAATTGCGTTGACCTTCTCGATCGATCAGTGATGTCTACTGAGACGAAGGATAAGTTACTTTAGCCGGTCTCTTCAGTGTGCACTTACAAATTCAGCTGTTCCTGTAGAAATGGCTATATCGAGCGTACCAAAGGAAACTTAACCAACGAATGACTGAACATCTCCCACTATGGTTTATGGACGGTCAGGTGTATTTTGGCAAATCTGATTAGTAGTGGTCACAATCTAGATAAACATGAATCATTTTGAGTGATCTATCGTTTACTTCCGTCAGTTCCCAACGAAGTTGTATCTTGTCTTCTACAAATAACAGAAGGCAAAGCAATGTGCACATTCAACCCTAATTTATGTGCTCAGAAGAAATTCGTGACCCACCTATTCCTTCTATGGCCGGAAATAACTTAATAAACGTTTTTAAAAACTTTAAATATTTCGTATTTTTATATTATTTTTGTTATTATTAGCATTATTTTACACCCTAGATTTGTCTGTACATTTCTGTCCCGTTCCGTTTATAGTCTTCACTATATTATTACATACACACTTCTTATTATGTAATGGTTTTGTTACTTTGTAGTGATTATGTTTAGTCTATTTATCCAATTTTCCCGACCGTAAGTGTGACCTTGACGTGGTGGTCGGGCTTGCCTATCGTGATGACCCAACCGAGCTATACTGGATGGAACTTATGTTCCTGAAGGTTCTACCATGCCAGGTAGGTCAACTGGAGGACGATGAGAATAAAAGCAGCTATTCAAGGTATGAGGGCGAAGTCGTATTGCTGACTGAAGACGGGTGTGACAGCAGTAAGGTGTTTCACTCGGACAACAAGCATCTGCAGCGATGCTGCCTTCTCACAAGGAAGGAAGGGTTAGAAAATGTCGACCCTGAAAATGTCACACCTCACCCTAGCTCACGGACTTCCGTCTCCGGCGGTAAGGACTGTCCACTAAGGGATTTTAGGGTGAGTCACAGGTCTCAAGCAGTTATACCATGGGCTTTGTGGTCACGCTCCCAGGTTCCTCAAGAAACACTCTTCCACGGTGTGTGCAGCCGGGAAGTGACATCCGCCCTCATACCCGTGATACTAAATTGGTCACAATCAAATCCTTTCTACACCTCTTAATACCTCCCTTATCTTCTCGACCAATCCTTCTTTTGATCACTTATCAACTCACGCCACTGAAGCAAAAGGTACGAGCTCATTATACACTACTCCTGGTCCGTTGAAACCGTATACTAAGTTACATATTGGAGATTTTAATTTGTTGTTGTTGTTAGCCTTGATTATATTTGGACGCATGAGTAGAGCTCATGAAGAGCAGACTCAAGAAAATGAGGTGGTTTTCGACCTAGACGTGGTTGTATAGACCACATCTCCACACTACAACAGGTCCTGGAACACAGACACACATTTAGGCGCCCTACGATAGTTATTTTTCTGGACCTAAAGGCGGCATTTGACTCTGTAGATCGTGACGTTCTGTGGCAGAGTCTGTCATTGAAAGATGTACCAAAGAAGTACATTAACCTCATACAAGCTCTGTACTCGAACACCGCCGGTCGAGTTAGAGCTTATGGCGAACTGTCATCGGAATTCTTTACTTCAAGTGGTGTCCGTTAGAGCTGTCCACTTTCCCCATTCTTGTTCAGTTTAGTCATAGACATGCCGCTAGATATAACCTTATCCTCGTCTGAATTTTCAGGAGTAGACCTTCTACTAGGAGGATCACTTATAGACCTAGAATATGCCGATAACACAGTTATATTCGGTGAAAACGCTGGCAAACGCAGAGTCTTCTGACTACCATAAGCAACAATGCGAGCATATTCGGGATGCGGTTTTCCCCCTCAAAATGCAAAATGTTACTTCAAGACTGGGTTGCATCGGCACCTGAACTAGTGATAGGGAGTGAAGTAGTTTAGCGTGTTGACCGCTTCACGTCTCTTGGAAGTCTCATCAATGCCGATTGCCTGGTGACTGAGGAAATCTCAGCAAGGATACGGAAAGGTCAATTGGCTCTTACCAACCAGCGTCACTTATGACGTAGGGGAGATATCTGTTTGCTGACTAAAGCACGAGTTTACTGCGCAGCTCCGTCCTACTTTATGGCCGTGAAGCAAAGCCAGTCAGAGTTGAAGATATTCGTAGGTTACAGGTGCCTCCGAGTATCGTGGGACAACCGAGTAAGCTATGCTGTTGTTAGGAAACGGTCGCTACGTAAGTATGGCAGTTCAATAGGGGAAGTAATGAAACTTCATCAGTTGGGGTGGTCGGGACATGTGCTGCGTAAGCCTGGTAGGTGTCGACTACCTGATTGTGGTCCACGAGATTATAATAGCTAATCATTAGAAACCCTGAATTACATGGCTCAGAAGCGTTTGCAGTGGCGTAGGCGAATATGCTCTTTGTGTTCTATGAAATTCTAACCCTCTGAATTACTCATCACACCTATCTTTCTCTTTCTAAACTTACCTCACTGAATTACACTACTTGAATAACATCTTCGAACCCTAATCTCTCCGATTACTACTAATACTTTTACTACCTCTACTACTATGGGATTTGAATTGACAGTTATATCTCTGTGCTAATGTGGTATGGCAACATGAACTGATGTACTTACGTTCGAAGTTCTACGTTGTAAGTGACTGACTGACTGATTTATACACGTTTCACCTACGATTTCCAACGCTGAACTACTGATAAAACTTTATTTATTTTCAAACTTTGGTTTTGAACGATTCGGTCACTGTGTCGGTATCTTTTTTTCAAATTCAGCCTCTAGTTTCAGGGTGTACAATCTAATTTGTCAATTCAGTTCATTGACACAATAGGAATAGTGAAGGGCCTGAGGATTTACCACGGGGCATGATGATTTTGAAAGTAGTTATCCGTATACTTACTTATTGACTCCTTAACTTTACCTTCAGCCACACAAAGAGTATAAAATCGAAGCTAGTATTTTGGCTACACAACTTTTCTGAAGTTTGATGTTAGTGGGTCATCGGTCGGTTAGATTCAGAATATGCTGCAACTATGAAGTAACATAACGCAGACGAGGTCGAATTATCCAAGCTGTTCGTCAAATCTCGAAAAACCCTGCTACATCAGAAGTGCAAGCCTTCTTAAATTGCAAACTGATAGTTTTCTAGTCTGACACTGCTCATTTTTACCACGAAATACTTCATTAATAAATAAGACTTATTTCATTGTCCAGTTCTGCATCTGATAACATTAACTGGGATTACTACATCAAATTATGTCAACCGAAAAAATACTCAGGCACGTATTCTGGAGAGTTGAAAAATGACTTATCGAAAGAAACCAGTTCTTTTTTTAGTTTCGGTACCATTTTCTTGATAAGATTCATCAGAAAATCCACCACAATCGAACATGTTAAAAGTATTCAATGAATCATTCGTTGGGGTGCGATTTGGTGGAACCAATCTTTATGGAATACACTGTCCAGAATAAAGAATCCAACTGTTTGGTGTATTACTATCATGGTTCAAGCGTTATAAATGAACTTTACCCTGATCTGTAGCCAAATCGAGAAATCAAGGACCGACTCCGGAAACCTAGGGTCGGTTAGAATATTAGAACATTTTAATAATGTTTTCGTCATCATTTTCTTTCACTCTTCGCTGGGAGTAACTAGAATAATTTCGCAGACGAACCTACAGTATCCTTGATTATATAAACGCCGGGCGAAATGAAAGTAGAGTCTAAGATAGAAGGAACCTGGTAGACGTTTTCTGAATTAGCTTTAGCAGGACCGAGGAAGAGAACTTATGGCAAAAGATCCGTACATAATGCCAATAATCAATGCAAAAAGTTAAAGGATTATGTAAAAAGTTATATTAATATCACACGCATTATAGTAGATCAGAACATTTGCGATAATGACAAGATATTTTTATTGTAAGTCTTCGCTCATTAAAACAAATAAAGCATGTCAAATAATCCCACTGTGAGCATCTTACCGATGCATCACTACCACTCCCCTCGAGGCAATCCTCGAAAGATTGCACATCAAAGAGCGAATACTCAGATTCGTGCACACTTTTTCTCAATTAGAGTCGTCGCAAATTGGAATGCTCTCCCAGCCGAGGTTACCACAGCGCCCTCAGGAGACAGCTTTAAGAAGAGACTTGATAATCACGTACTCACATACGGATTATCATCTCCCTCTTGGACAAGCTGTGCCTGATGCATATCTTGCGACTTGATAGTTGTTATCATTGCCATCTCCTTAGATCATTTACTTAATCTATCTCGCCTATTATCTCTGTTTCCTTTCCCTTGCTTACAATTTGGTCCTCTCTCACAATCTTCCCTACCAATCAATGAACTAAACTATCTATTGATTTACTTATTTCTGAAATTTTATCCATATTAGCACTAGAATTTTATCCTTATTATCCTTATTACTCTCCACATTGCAACTAACTGACTTCCGGCCTGGTAATGTGATTGCTGCTGGTATTCATTCAAATCCCGAGACATACAAACTCACACCCAACTGCCAATATTTCGTGAAAAAGATTTCTGATATTAAATACTAGCTACTGAAGGCGTTGGCAAAACTGGAGATAGAATCTTGAAGATTACTTACTTCAATTTAGTCCCAGAGTGTAGCCAGGCAACCGCTCGCAAGCAATGTAGAAAACACATTGTTTAATTATTTTTCTCTATAAACAATGTCAGAAAGTTTAAAAACTTCAAAATAATCACACACCTGTGAAGTTGCGTTTCGACGGAGTGAATATTTCTTGGAATTGCAGGACATTAATGGGAAACTGAAATAAGTATTGACTTCACTTCTATTAAGTACACATAAGATAAGAATTTAACAAAACACGAAAGCACATGAGAATAGAACGCAAATGAATGTGAGGCTCTAATCCTTGAAGCTACGAAATAAACCCCATGATGCTCTTTGAATGTACTAAACTTTATTTTGTTGTCGTGAAAGCGGTAATTTGTTTCCATCGTCAGGATGATTCCTGAAGGGTTACCTGAATTACTGGAAAAGTTCACCGAGAAAGTTATATCGGAAAAGCCGAATAATTTGGTTGAATTTGCAGCGAATTATTTTCGCAATCTCCTGCTAGAATCAAAAAATCAATCTGAAGAACGCAAGTTACTCGTTAATTTTCTGTTTAGGTAGTAATCTAATATATTGACCAAAGCCGAGACATTAAGCTCTCTACAGCTTTTCAAGATTGTAATTTATTTATAGCGTAGGCCTTTATCATAGCATAATGTTCAGTCGTAGTTGGATACTTTCTTGAACACATGTCTCAGATATGAAAAATAACTAGGAAGTGAAAGGCGGTTACTTGTTTTCGCATATTTCACATACGTGCAAAGAAAATACATTCCCTGGGTTGAGTTAAAATATTACGACAATACCTGATTGGAAGCATTATTTTGTATGTTTTTCATGGGTGAATGATAATTTAGGATTATAGAATATATATTTATGTCACTTAAGTTGTTTTTTCAGTCTCAGAATCATACGTCTTCTTCTATGATAGTTATTTTCACTTTTTTCATATTTCCTTCTCCAATCCAAGTAAGCCATCTAAATTTAGGACTTTTGTTATCATACTAGCCTGGCAAATAAATCCCTGTATAAGCTCCGAAACTACTAGTGTCACTTATCTATTCATTAATCCTTCTGCAGCGTTAGAAGATATGCCCAATCAGCAATTTTATCACAAGGTTTTAGCAGCTCAATGTATCGTGTCTGATAAGTGGATAATTTGGCGTAAATTTAAGTAGACGTAGATTACTTGGCGATTAATAAAGTGTGGATCTATAGACTTCTTGCCTCACGGGAGATCTTTGGTTGAAATTTCTAGTTATTTACCTAGTGTGTACATGAAAAGTGTCACCTGCATTTCAGCTTCTAGAAGACTGTCGGTTTGGTGGCCCGTGTTAGTCCTTGCAATTTTGATCTCTTAGTTGATCTGGGCTTCTCTTGAATGTGTCCATGGATGGAGCTTCATTCAAATGTTGGGATAAAGAGTTCCATTCGTTGGTGATCATATGGGAAAGTCAGTTGTCATCTGAAAAGCAGTTTTTTTTCACTTCCTCGTCAATTTTCTGTTTCGTGAGACCATAAAAACGAGAACGTCATGCTAGTTTCTCATTAAGTAATTTAAAAACTGATTAAGTCATCTCTAGTTCTTTCGCATTATAAGGGAAATAGGTTTCATTCAGCCAGTCTCTCGTCATATGACACTGCGATTTCTGGAACTGAACTTGCAATTCTTTGAACGTTTTTCAACAGATCACTCTCTTTTTTAGGCGGGGGCTGGCTGCTTGTTTTCAATATCAAGTTTAGGTCTACGTACAGATAGACGATAAAGTTCTGAAACTTTTGGTGTCAATCGCACAGCATTGTGCAGTAGTTTCCAAGTCTTGGCTAATGATGATAACTAAGTCATTGTGTGTCCGAATAATAGGTGGCTTAGTGTTATTCGCCGTGTATTTGTCTATGTCTTTGTAACTAATATCCACCATGATGCACTTGAAACCGTTTATCGGCAACTGCCGAATTCTGAATCATTCAGATGATTTCTTTAGGTCATTTTAAAGCTGTGGACTATCACCATTTTTTTAATCGCTTCTCATTTCTTGATATTGTCAGCATATAGCAAAACCAACGAAGATATGAGTTTAGGAAGGCCATTTACGTACTGTCTCTAAAACTGTTCCCCTAATCATCCCGCTAAACACAGTTTCTTATCTAGATAATTTGGAGTTAGCCCCCAATCCCGATACCACTTAATTTAGAAAAAAGCTTTTTGTAACGGACCTTATCAAAAGCCGTTTGAAAGTCTATAGATATCGTCTGAACTTAATCCTACGGGTTGATAGTTCTCAGCTTTGTATCTCGTACCTGTTTTGAAGACAAAACTGACTATCGCGTCTCCCAGTCTTTTGGTTGGGTTACTGATAGATTAAAACATATACTTAACGGATTTTCAATGAAATTTGCTAGTTTCGTCGGGTCTCTCATGGATTTACTAGAATCAAGCTTATTCGCCATCTCGAGGACATCGAGTTCTTTAGTGGGCAGGGTTTGCATGGAAGGGTTTATATGAGCCGTCCGTCGTCACACATAAAACTTTTACTCATAGGCTATAAATTCGTCTGAATCACTTGAGACACTCTTAATGTCTCAGAATCTAATATTTCCCGTTTATTATTTCAAAAACGGAATTAACTGATCCATGCTGGAATTTGTGCTAAATAAACGGATGTTATACTAATATCTATTGAATAACGTACGGTTATCGTAAATAAAGCAGTCTTGGAGGTAGCAATAATTCCTGAATGGATGGATTCTTTGTCTGAATATTAATTAGGATAGTAAAAATTTGTGGCCCTGGTACATCTAACTCGTTAACTCAACTCAAAAGATTCTCCAATCTTGGATGTTATAAAGTCATTGTTCATGATACTTCGTTTGAGCATATATGACTGGAAATAGTTTTGATGGTTGTCAATAATTCAAAAAAATACTCTCCTTTAATGAATATACATGTAACTCTGCATTTAAAGTGGTTATTTTATCAAAATAATTTTAGAAACAAGTATATTTTCCGCTTCCTCTGGTATTCCACAATATAATGTTACGATGACTGTCAGTGATTCAAAACAAACGATTCCTGTAATAACCACGACCTCTGACAGGTTTGTTTGTTTCCAATGTGTAAACTATCATTTTTTCAATAACTCCTTTAAGCGAAAACGAGTGTTATGATAATTCGGAGGTCACTTCAAATTTACTGCACTTGTCAATGAGTGAATACTGCGTTCCTCTACATGATAATGAAAGTAATTCAAACGAAAACAATCTCAAGCATATGTTTACTGTAAAAATTGTGAAGAGTTATCTTCCTATATGTTGTGGAATTATCCTGTTTATCGTTGTCTGTGCAACTGTTGACCGATATATCATCCAAATAAGTGCATAAAACACCGAAAGATTTTGTTGTAAAATGCATTTATATCGTGATAAAATGACGGGTGTACATTTAACAAACCGGTATTTCTTAACCAACCTAAAAAGCCTATATACAAATCGTCTAATTTCTTTTTATTTGAATCCATGATATCTTCGTATGTGTTTAAAACGTTTTGCACTATTCTCGTTACAGTTTTGCTTATTAGCTGAAACCTTATGTGTTTAAGAATGGAAAAAGAACTGTAAGTCAATGACGGGCGTCTGTCACCAGTGTTTTTATTGTCTCTTGACTGTCATCTGTCAGGTGACTTAAAAAACGCAAACGATCATAGTTCTCTTCCGTTAATCGTTAAGTTTTTACATAAATTTATAGCAAATGAAACAAATAGATCTAGTAACGTTTTATAAGTGAAATAAATAAACGAATATGTACAAACTAAAAACATTGATGATGATTCATTTAGTTGCATGCGTGGTGGAAACAAATGAAGTGGAGAGAGAAACTTGGGTGTGTTTGAAGTTACCGTAAGGATCATCTACTGAAATCACTTAAAGTGACCTTAAATCTTTTTAGTACTAACACATTAAAAAATATCTGTGTATGTAAATTAAAACATTAATTTTGCTCATATTGACTGATGGTTATAAATTGTGCATGTTTTAAGCATTTAAAAAACCCAGCTTAACTGACTCTTTTTGCTATTGAAAGTCAAACTGTATTTTGTGTTATTTCCGTCAAATTAATTCTTCCCAAGAATGTTTTTATCATGTCGTCTTAACTAAAAAAATTTAAACGTGTTCCTTACTAGGTTTACTTTCCTCTGTTTTCATAATACTGGGATGTAAACATGTGTAATTATTAAGGTTTGTTATGCTACTGAGCAAAGGAGATATACCGTACTTCATATCGATAGATGCATTTCGTTATAACGTGATACCGTTACTTTTGGTAATTTGAAGAAATACATTTAGAAAATCCAAGTAAATTTAATGATTTTTTAAATATCGACTATGCATAAAAATGTAATAAATTGGATAATTTCAATGAATTGCTTCATCATATCACTATTATATACTTGTTATAGTTAAGCTGTAATTAAAAGTTCCTTCTAGAACTCTAGGGAGATAAAGTCATTATAAAAAGTAGGATTTTTTGCCAGACCTAGGGAGCAGTAATTAATATAAAGTTTGATATATACTGTCATCATCTTTTTCCCCTGTAATTAAGTCCTTTTTACTTTACATACGTACCCTACCTGTTCGACGCCAAAGCTGAACGTCTTGTCCACCCAAGTAGATACTTTTGAATTTTAGTGGATATTATAAAGATATTATTCATCTTGAGAATTTCCCCGTCAAAAAGGATTATCATGGATTATGATGTGTTTAAACGTGTAAACTTTACAATTTTCATAATTCTAATACAAAAACATATGCTTATTATTGTTTGTCGTAATCAAAAAGCTTCATGTTCAAAAACTTGTGTATATGCATACAAATGTGAAAAATATTTTTGTTATTTAAAAAAACTAATAGTTATTTAATGGATGATAATATACTGGAGCGAGGTATTTGTGCTTCGGTATTTTTTTCATTGCTATCACTATAATTAGATAAATAAGTGATGAATACATTTAATTGTTGCTGCTAACCTTTTACTCTATTACAAATAATTCAGCAAATTTATTACTAGAAATATTCGTACATAAATTCGTATAGATCGTTCAGCATATATGTGTGTGTCTGTTAATGTGTACATTAGTGTGTAGATGTTAGTGTAAACATACTTTACCAGGTCAACTACTTTATGACAGCTGTTTTACATTTATTTAACTAATGATAAATTAGTAAAAACATTAAGCTAGTCATTTCATGCATAACCCGAATAGACAAGTGCTAAGTTGAAAAGTAACACTTTTGACTTCTAATGTATTGAATCTGTGCTTTCATTAATCATATTATCTAATGAATAACTGAACTTGAAACTAATATCAATAAGTATGGTTATATTTGTGATGATATTAATATTCCCTCATGATATCTGTAATGCGTTGAGCTAGTTTAATATATTGATAAATAAAGCTTAAGAGTCAAATTATTTAGAGTGAAATAAAAAGTGGATTTCGTCACATCCTTAAGGATTGAACTACCCGAAAC